TTGCCAGAGAATATATAAAACACAAAAGAATTCCCTCATATTCAATTCATTTATTTGTAATTTCATATAAAAATGAGGGTTTGTGGGTTTAATCAGACTGCATTGGATTATATTAAATTAATTATAGTATATAAATATCATTACAACATTAAAGTAAAATCATATGGTCCTGTTTTATTATAATAATATTATAATATATGATTCCAACTAGTAAAAGATTTTATTTTTATTAATAGTCAGGTCTAGGCATGTTAGCTCATTTGAACACAAATCATACAGTAAACTCTTTTTACTTTTGCTCTTAAGGTACGATCACATGCAATCGTCAAAAGTGTTGCAATGTATGAAGCACTTTAAAGGGATACTTCACAGGAGAAAAATATACTATGGAAGTCAATGAGACCAGAAACTGTTACTGATATTCTTCTAAATATCAGAACATCAGCTGTATGGATTCGAATACGGTAAAACTGTTTAACTCTGAGGGGTAAAATTAGCCCATTTCCAAAAAATGTGGAGTATCCCTTTAAATAATAACCGAGCGGCTTTCTTTTGGTGTTTACGTGAAATCTGCACAGGAAGTAATGGTAATGGTAATTTTCATAAAAAAAATTATAAGACTATATTTTACATTATATTACCTTGGCATTTCATTTCAGAAAACTAGTTAACGCTGTTGTGTAGCCTAAGTGTTTCTAATACAATGACTGAGGGATTGACGGCAGATTTTACACGATAAACGATAAATGTGACCGCAACCAGACACCCTTGTCTGCCAAAACGTTTGTGAGAATCAGTACAGTAAGTTATTCCTAGTGAAATACATTTCAGTCAGTCACTTTTCGTTTCTAACAGCATGACGACGAGGAGGAAAGTGAACACTATGGTCCCGCTGAGCCCCTGTGCCGACAGAGCCTTAGTTTGGTTAACAGCACTATTGAGGAGAATTACCCAGAGGGCACTCTTCAGCTGCTCTCTGACTTCATTCAGCCTCGGTTTTACCCACCGGTGGATATTACGAAACATCTGCTCAGGGAGATTTTCTTGGACCCACAGAGCACTGATGTCCTAGTCGTAGAGGCCTATAATCTATTGATGAAGACTCAGAGGTGAGTGGGATCACATCTGCAACTACTTTGATTTGTTTTTTCCCCATTTAAAACGGTTTTGTGAAACTATTTTAACTGAACATTTTACATTTTCATGAGTATTAAGTCAGAGATGTACCCTGGTTGGTAGTGTATGTGCATCATGTGATACTACCTGCCCTTCCTGTTCTCAGGTGTTAAACGTACTATTCATGTTTATTAAATCATTTCAGTTTGTTTTGCATGTTCAGATACCATCCTGTGGATGCTTCTACAGTCCCATGGGATTGGGAACTGATGAAGATGGCTATGAAGGATCAGGTACTTTTTAGCACATTTTAAATACTTTTATACTTTTTAAGTATTGCTCAAATTTTCTTAAATGTTCCACTCTCTTAATTCTTCCTGTCTTAAGGAGGACACTAGGAGGTTGCGGACGATGGTCCGGTGCATGTTCCTGCAATATGTGTTGCAGGTTTTAGAAGATGACTTTAATTTTAAACTCAAGACTCAATGTCTTCAACACTCTGTTGCAAAGAAGATGCTTTCATGTGGTCCTGAAACATTTGGCCAAGTCAGGTGAGTTTAAGCCCCAATTTTTGCAATCGGCTTTAATTGACTTTGCATATGGTAATAAATAATGAACTGTCATATCATATTATGTGTGCAATTATGTGATTCTTGTTCTTAGGGATCTAATAAATTGGATGATTAATGCTGCTAAGGAGTCGGTGAACGACTCAAAAGATGTGGAAGATCCAAAGAAAGAGGACAACTGTCTTAAGTATATAAAGTGCTCATTTTGTTATCATTATACAGTAATGTTTAAATATTTGGGGTCTAAAATATTTTTTAATGAAATTCATACTTTTATTCAGCAGGTATGCATTAAAATGATCAAAAGTGCTAATAAAGACGTTAAAAATGTAAAAAGTTAATGTAAAAAAAATCAAAAATTTTTTTGTCATCTTGAACTTTATATTAATCAAATAAGCCTGAATAAAAATGTATCACATTGACACACATATGATGCAGCACAACTGGTTTCAACATGGAGAATAATAAGAAATGTTTCCTGAGCAGCAAATCAGCAAGTTTATTTCAGGTTTAAATAAATTACAATTAAAAATACAATAAAAAGGAAAACAGTTATTTTAAATTGACAACAGAAAATCGTACAGACCCCAAACTTTGAACAGGAGTATAATATTACAGAGCCCCTAAAAGGACGTGGTGGTGGAAAACAAATTAGATTGGGAGAATCTGAAATATGAAAGAAATTTTTTTTTTGCATTCCCCTGAGAAACTTTTAAACTAAAAAAGTCCCAATAGTGGCTCCGTATAAAATAACACTACATTTTGCCATACAACAACAGTCTACGGAAAACAGTTTGGATTGTACTTACTTTCCTTCGTGTCTTTGCAAAAGAGAAACTTTGACTTTTTTTGTTACAGGATTGTATTATCTCTTCAGAGGATGTTAACATTGGCCATAGAGGTGGACAAGGACCCCACCTACAATTCAGACAAACTTTCAGAAGAGCTCTTCAGTTGTCTTAACAGAATGCGCTCTTACAGGAAGACAAGGTGAATCAATATCAAAACAATAATCAAGATAATTTGCACAGAGCTTTATTGAATGTTGAGTTTTTGCTGCCCTTTGTATTGTTTTAGACTCTTATTGTTGAGTACTCTGGAGAGCAAGCTGCTGAGATGCAAGTTGTTGAAGCTGCTGCTGGATGAGGCTTGTTCTCAGAAGACACGCTTGCCCATGTCTCTAAGCTTGCTGCTACACTACCTTAAGAGTTCCACACTGACTACTGAACCCTCAGTAAAAGATCACTACAGTGTTTTATTCCAGATTAACATTTTGCATTGTTATTCTGCATAACAGCTGTACTAATATGATCTCCCTGCATGGTGTGACAGGATGGAGCAGAGAAATGGAGAAAATGGGATGAACTTCTTCAGCTTCTGTGGATGTTGATGCTCAGCTATGAAGAAGTGGTGACAGGTGACAAACTAGTGCTATCACAGCTCTTTTAAAGCTGCGGTCCGACGTTTTTCCTCTTTGTTGCCATCTCTGTTTGAAAATGCAATTGCAGTCATTCGCGGAATTATCAATTTTATGTGAGTTGTACTTCAACACCCTCGACACGGCACAGCGTGGATGAACACAATATTTGAGGAGAGTGCGTATGTCAGTCGCTGCGCTGGTGTGGATACTGGCATTCAGAATCACAGATTATTCTTTTTGGAAGTATAACCACCAACATTATAATTTGCACCGGAAAATTTCATCTGACCTAGTAAGAAACATCCACTTTTGTTCAGGTTCTGACGTTGCAGTAAATCACGCAGATTAAATTTAACAATCGCTTATAAGTTATCATATCACGCAAAACCATGCATATTTTACTTTGTTCTCAAATTGTTAATGTTAACAACGTCAGCATTGCGTGACTTACTACATGTAATGTCTTTCTGATATGTATCCTTGTTTTCGCATGGGTCTGGTTGCAGTCTCTTTTTTTTCTTTTGCAGTCTTTTGCATTTTACAGCGGGTGAATCTGTTGTCACTGGTGATTGTTGTTTAAACTTTCTGCATCTGCCATCAAATTGATAAGTTTAATTATATCAAGTGCTGTGAGAAAAGCCTATAAATCTCCACCTCCAACATCCTCACACGCAATATAGCCTACTAGCCGAGACTTTGTGTACAGATGTGACGTAGTGACGCAAAGACATGCTTGAATCTCCTGCGGAAATCCAGCAGTATCATTGGAATTTAAAACATTATTACAAGCTTACCGCTTTGAATCGAGCTACGGCAAACAGAAAGTTTTGAACACTGGCTGGTTATGTATTTTCTCAAATATGTATTTTTAAACAGACTGCAGCTTTAAGCTTATACATAATGCAAATAAAAAAGAGAATTAAGCATTTGCAAGAAATTTTAAGTAATAAAACAAGGTGATGGTAATAGTTTTTCTCTTTACTCTTCTTTCAAACCTTTTTCCCCAGGTCACCTACACTCTCCCATAACAAAGCGCTTTAATAGGATGCATGCTCCGATTTGGACACGGGATGATCAGGTGAAAAGCTCAGCAGTGCAAGAGGCAGCAGACGCCTTCCTGTCGCGAGCAGCGGATGACATCGGCCATGCTCTCCCCATGGGAATGCAGGAACTACTATGCCAACTACAAGAACACATTACTGACATGTCCAGTGTTATTTCAAGTCATTAAACCTTTTAATAACTTTGTTTTGATTTTTTAATAAATTATTATTTTTTAAACAATTTGAGTGTTTTTTCATTACACATACCAGCAAAGAGCAAATAATAATAATAGATATAGCCACAACCACAAGTGCTAATTATTGGGGTGATATTGGGTGTGTTTTAAAAAAGTCTAAGGATTCTGTTAACAATTTTGGGCAAAATGGATAAAATGTTATGAGTAGAAATTTGAATTATGCCTTGTGCTCGAAGCCTTGCTGTCTTCATGGAAATGGACGATTTACTAAATCAACAACAGAATAGTAAATCTTATTACTTGAAGTCATTAAACCTTTAATAAAAACTTAGCTTTAATTTTACAAGTACAATATGTGAGAAAAGGAATAGCAACAGCAACTTGATTTATATAGCACAGTTAAAACAAACAAGTTGACTAAAGTGCTTTACAATGTAAAACAACACAGAAAGAGAAAACGATCTAGTTTTTCCAAATTCGCTACCCAGATCATAATTTCTCTCACGTGTTACAGTAAGTAAATGTTTTTGTGAATTATTCTTTTAATGTCAAAATAATTGTTCAAAGCGGCGCCACAGAAATTTCCTGCACATTCCCTAAAAACGATCTCCTTCATGAAAATGTTTTATCAAATCCGCTAAATTCAGAAATGTGACCGTCTAAAATGCAATTGAGCTGCATACCTAGACAGCATGTGTGAGCACTACAGGTGCGTGCTAGGCATCTCATTAGGGGTTGAGAGACTTGAGCATGATATGGACCATTATGGACACATGGACCCTTGTTTTGGAGAGCAGCACAACAGCTGCACAAAATCCTCCGCCATGATGGTGTGCTGCATCCCGTAGCTGCACAGCCGACACGAACGAAAGAATTAAAGCTTCAGTGAGACAAACAACTGACTTCAGGAGTTGGTATGCTATTGGAGGTAATTCTGAAAGATAATTTGCGAAGATTTGCTGCTCCGAATCCCAGTTTGGGCTTGTTTCCAAGTTAGCTGCTAGCTTTATAGCTAACGTTACAGTAGTTAGCTGTTACTCTTTGTTCATATAAAGGGAATGTCGTTTGATAAAAGTGTCATTATTTTAAAAAACAAATGTGCACAGTATTTCCTAAATATCAGTTTATTTAACACATGTTAGAGAAATATAACTTAAATGTGTTGAACCAAGTATCCTGTGGCTAATGCTGATAGCAAACCAGGTTACCTGTGTGGTAAAATGTTTGTTTTTAAACTGAGGCATTGGAAGGATGCTTATTGTTTTAAACGTGAGTGATAAACATAATGTTTCATGTTATGTCACTTTGTGGAGGCTGAGTTTTAAAATAATTAATGAGTTTAAATGGGTTATTAAAATAGCCTCGAGCTAACAGTTAGTTAGCTTGCGCTCTTTGCTGCATGTCTTCTTTTTGTTTTCTTTGACATGCACGGAATTGTCTTACTTAATTATGACGATTAAATGTTATTAGACATGTTGCTAGTCTAATTAGTGTTGTAGCGTGTGTAACTTAAACTGGTGTGTTATGCTCTGTAACTTAAACTGGTGTGTTATGCTCTTATAATGAGCTAACTTAGTTGACAAGATGCTTTTGTTTGGACAGTTAGCGGTGTCATTTAGCTGCATGTTTATTTATTATTTTTAGTTTACCTAAACAAAGGTAAGAAGCAAATTTGTCTAAAATGGACTGTGAGCTGTCTAATTTCTTACGTTGCTGTCATATGATGCAGTCTAGATTGATTTAATAATTGAGATAAGACCAAACATTTTGTTTGGCTCAACTTTACGATCTACCAAAGTCGTTATCTAATCTAATTTCATACACCCTTTAAAGTCTAATTATATTTACAGACAAATTGAGTGCATATATATAAAAAAAAAAAACAGCCATTAAAATGGCATATTTATTTCTTGTTATATAAATCTGTTTGTGTATTTGTCCCACACAGTGCTCTAGGGATGCCCAAGGAGAAATATGACCCGCTTGATTCCAGGCGGATGTACACTATCATGTCCTGTGAGGAGGCAAATAGTGGGAAAAAATCCATTTGGGATGGGCTTGAAATAACTGGTAAGTGTCTTGAATTAAATCCTCTGATTAATTATTTACAGAGACGTTCCTGACCTCCCTGGGGCCCTAAGCAAAATTCTGTTAAAAGATGTGTTCAGCTAAAAATGAAAATTATGTCATTAAAGACTCACCCTTGTGTCGTACCTCTAGTTTAAGATATTTTAGATTTAGTTTGAGTGTTTTCTGTCCCTCCATTGAAAATGTATGTACGGTATACTGTTCTTGTCAAGAAAGGAAATAAAGACATCGTCAAAGTAGTCCATGTAATATCAGTGGGTTAGTTACAATGTTTAGAAGCGTCAAAAATACATTTTGGTCCAAAAATAACAAAAACTATGACTTTATTCAGCATTGTATTCTCTTCCGGTTCTTTTGTCAATCCGTGTTCAGTGACGCTGCTGGCATTAAGAGGATGCTGACTTGTTATCAGTGCAGCGGCACTGGTCGGGAGATATGAAAATTTTTTTAAAAAATAGTTGCTAACAACTTCAAGTTTTGATCCAAAATTCACAAAAGTGGTCCCATTAGATTTAGGGTGTCATGCTAAATCGACTGATATCCAATTTGTCTATATCGACCATTTTAGGCATCTGCCATTTTGAATTTTATACCAAAATGATGTATTTTAAGAACGCATTAACGTATCGTCATCAATATGTTGCCCTGAATGAACCTAAGAAGTTTCAAACCAATGCCACTTAGTGGTAAAATTAAATTTTCAAATGTTTATAACTCTCTAAGTGTGGTTGACCTATTTTCACTGAAGTCATCTCATTAGGGTTCCTGAATCCTTCCCTAGTCCAACGATACCAAACATGATAGGTTTCCCCTTACAGTTTGTGTAATGTTGTGATTTAGCGCTTAAGAAACATTTGCTAATATCTTCAAAACCAATCTAGACAAAACCTCTGTCAGAAGTTTGGAAACATAGGTTGTTGGCTGTATGCTAATTCCCAAATGTCAAAATACTTAAATATTAATAGTAAGTGGGATGAAATGCATACAAAGTCAGGTGTGGGTATTTTTTTTTTTTTTTCATGTGTTTATAATTCCAAAACAAAATGAAATATTTTCACCAAATTTGACTCGCACGTGTATGGGCACAGTCTGAGGAAAAAATTGTGGGATTGTGCCTCTTGTCGGCACTATATTAGATCAAAACATGAAATTACCATTCACTTCAATACAGTATTGTGATATAACATTTTACACTTAATGAACATATTAATTGCCTGGCATGCCAGACCTACATCAAGATGTTAGGTCTGGGAACTCATCATTGATAGGGTTCAATCCGAAGGGTGGGATAAACGGTTGTTATACAGCACCAGAACATGCTGACTAAAAGTTATGGATTTCGTGAAGAGAGACCATTTTTGTATACTGCATCATTAAAGTTTAGGCATGCTGCCAAAACGACTATTGAGGCTTTATCTCAACAATACCTTGACATATTGACACCAAACTTTGTATATGTCAGTCACCTTACTCTTGACCACACCACATCAATTTCGCAACTGCGCCACCTATTGGTTGATAGTGGTAATCCATTAAATCATATTTTTCATTACTGTTCATGATTTTTTCAGCCATTTTGCCTTAAATCATATAAATGTATTTAATTGCTCTTTGTTGCAGTTGGTCTGACACTCCCGGTCATGTTGGCATGCATTATTGTCTTCTTGCACTTGGCACTGATAATTGTTGCTTGCAGCTATATTATTTATATCTGTTTCTGTCTCAGGTAATGTTCGGAGTCTCAGCTCGGGCCTTTGGTCACTCACACACCTCACTGCTTTACACCTCGGTGACAACTCCCTGTCACGTGTCCCACCTGAAATTGCCAAGCTGCACAACCTTGTGTTCTTGGACCTGTCGTCTAATAAAATCAGGAGCCTGCCAGCAGAGCTTGGCAATATGGTGTCTCTCAGGTGAACTACTTGGAGCAAAAGCTGTGTTATTATCTCCTTGGATCATTTGTTTCATTTAACGTGTTTGCAATACAGAGGAATGAAAGGAAAAACATTCTTTTGACCGCACTTGATGAAACTAGATCGCTCCTAACACGGTTTCCACAGTCATGGGAATGCCAGGAAAGTTGAATGTCCGCAGTGAATTTGAGTTATAAGTTATTAAAAATATAGTTTATTTTAAATTTTAGTTATTTTATTAATTTTAACAAATTTGACCTTATTGGAAAGTGTTATAAATGATTGGTTGTGACATATGACATAAAAGTCATGGAATACATTGGTCAATAGTTTTTATTCAGAACTTTTTATTGTTATTGTGTTTTTAATCGAGCATTAAGCGCACAGCTGATTAGTTTATTCGTCGTTAACCTTCTTTTTGTGTTTTTCAACAGGGAACTGCTTTTAAATAACAACCAGTTGCAGGCTCTGCCTTTTGAATTGGGGAAACTCTTTCAGTTACAAATACTGGGGTTGAAAGGTGAGTGTCATTGTTCTGGGGTTTGCAACATCTTGAGATCATCACTTTGTAGTGAATGTTTCCTACTGACTGTTTGTATGTGTCTCTGTAGGCAATCCACTCACTCAAGAGATTATGAGCCTCTACCAAGAGCCAGATGGCACCCGGCGACTGCTGAACTATCTTTTGGACAATCTAGCTGGTGCTATTAAGCGCAGTAGGTGTCTCAGACAAAATAACTGTTTAAGATCTGTATTCATAGGAAGTACAAAACAGCAGCATTTATTATTGAATTGTTTTGTAAAAATGCTTTCAAAGATATAAACTAGTCTATCTATCAGTATGAGAGCAATTAGGCTGAAAAAACTCAAGTAATATCAATGTCTGTCCTGATTCAATTTCAAATTCTGGTTCAGCTTCTGTTAATTTTTATTTTTTTTTTGCATAGCAGTTATTTTGTTTTAAGCCTGTTTAAATGCTGATACATAATTGATTTCTAAATTGAGATTCAACTGGAAAAATTAAAAAACATTGTCATAGCTTTTTAAATTTAAAAAAAAAAAATGTTTTATATTTGCAGATTAAATTCAGATTATTGTCTTGAAATGCATATACTTTGCCTTCACAGTCCCAACAGAGCAACCTCCATCCAGATCCTGGATTGTGCTGCAGGAGCCTGAAAGGACGAGACCAACAGGTAGATGTTTCTTGAAAAACATAGAGACATAATTCGAAACCTGAAGACACTTTGCCTGATATTTTGCTCTCCTCTTTGCTTTACCAGCCCTGTTTACTGTAATGTGCTACAACGTGCTGTGTGATAAGTACGCCACACGTCAGCTTTATGGCTACTGCCCGTCCTGGGCCCTTAATTGGAGCTACAGGAAAAAGTCCATTATGCAGGAGATCCTCAGCTGCAATGCAGATATTATCAGCTTACAGGTATATAGAACTTATCCAAGCCCAGCATAAGCATATTCAAATAACGTAACTTGTGGTTCCTTTTTAGTTTTAGAGAACAATGTGCAGTAAACGACAGCAATGTCTCAGAACAGACAAAATGCAGTATTTAAAATTTATCTTAAAGGTGTCAAATCAATTCATACTCCACATTCCATACCAGATAGGGGCAGTATACCTCCAGAAAGTGAAGAAACCGTATAGTCTCTATGCTCCGCCCCTACCTTCACAACAACCCTAGAGCCAACTCATAATAGAGGACATTTTGACTCCAGAGGAATGTTGGTTGATGTCAAGTGATTTTTAAATATGACCTTCAAGCTACTCCCCTTCACCTTTACCAGTGAATATGTTCATAACGAAAAACTTCAAATAATAGCCGAGTCCCAAACAGACGGCTGTCTCTTTTACACGCCTGCTGTGTAAATCTCCTGCTGTCTATTTTTATTGATTTATTTTTTAATACTTTTTAATGAACATAATCCACTGATAACATTCTGGTGTATTTGAGCATGCCTGTCCTAATAGATGAAGTGTTCTCCTTGTGTTTTGTTTCATTAAAGGTCTTTTTTTTTATCCTAGTTATGCACAACAGGTAGCACTGTTTGTCAGTCACTTAGTCTGCTGTTTCATGCACAGGAAGTGGAGACGGAACAGTATTATAACTACTTCCTTGTGGAGCTAAGTAAACAGGGATATGATGGATTCTTCAGCCCAAAATCCCGGGCCAGAACCATGTCTGAATCGGACAGGAAACATGTAGATGGATGTGCAATATTCTACAAGACTGAGAAGTGAGTAATGCAACACTCAAGTGTGGAGAAGTGTGTGTCTGACAGATTTGTTTCAATGTTGACATGAGTGAAAACATTAAACCAGATTATTTATTGATTGCTTTTAGGTTCAGCATGGTGCAGAAACACACAGTAGAGTTTAACCAGCTGGCTATGGCCAATTCAGAGGGCTCGGAGGCTATGCTTAATCGGGTCATGACCAAGGACAACATCGGGGTGGCCGCATTGCTAGAGCTAAAGAATGAGTTAATGGAGAGTGAGTTAATTCTCATGTGAGAATCTGCACGATAAAACCTTTTCCCCCCATTGTGATTATTTATGACAATTGAGCAACCTCTTTCCCACATAAATGGAATTTAAAAATAATAGTATTGCTTTTAAATGGTACTATAATACAGTAAAAACATTTTTTAAGGACATTAAGTGTTGCACAAAATTGATTAAAAGTGACATTAAAGTTTTTTTTATTTATTTTTTATTAATGCTGTTCCTGAACTTTCTTTTCATCAAAGAATGCGCTTTCCAAAAAAAAAAAAAAAAAAAAAAACGCCACAAAAAATGGTTTTGAACATATTTCAAGTCAAATCATGTGTCACTGAAGACTGATAATTCAGCTTGGCCACTATAGGATTACATTACATAACATTTCTATTAATTTTTTTTATCTTAAATTGTATCTTCACAATATTACAGTTCTTACAGTTTTTACAATTACAATTCACAAACAGCCTTTTCCCCTCCTTTCTACAGCTGGTAAGTCCATCCATGCTATGGAGAAACAGCTCCTACTAGTGGCTAATGCTCACATGCACTGGGACCCAGAATACTCTGATGTGAAGCTGGTGCAGACCATGATGTTCATGTCAGAGGTGAAGAATATCATAGACAAGGCCTCCCGCAGTCTAAAGCTCTCTTCTGTGTCTGGAGAAACCAACACCATCCCTTTAGTGCTGTGTGCTGACCTCAACTCACTTCCTGACTCGGGTAAGCCTTAAAGCCACAGTCTCATTTTCTCTTGTGGTGTTAAAAGTGTGTTTTTGAATCCTATATAAAGGATTGACTTATGTGAGTTTGACAAAGTTATGTACACGTGCTATAAAAAAAGTTCTTGCTTTGTGTGACATGCTATTGGTTATCTTATGGCGCTTTTCCATTACCAGACTTGCCTCGACTCGGCTTGCTTTTCGCTTTGTAGAGAACTTTAATGAAAGATTTTGCAAAGAAACTTCCTTTTAGAAAGTACAAGCACTGAGGAATTATGCAAAATAAGACCACCAATGAAAAAGTAATTCAGATTGATTTTGGTTTCATGTGGTCCTTAAACCATCTGTTTAGTAGTTACCTCTGTAGACATATTTACACAGAGTTTCGGTTCTGATTGTAGGTGTTGTGGAGTACCTGAGCACAGGCGGGGTTGACTGCAAACACAAAGACTTCAAGGAGCTGCGCTACACCGACAGTCTGACCAAGTTCAACTGCAATGGCAAGATCAGCACATCTAGCGAAAGGATCACGCATGGTTTCAAGTTGAAGAGTGCCTATGAGAATGGGCTCATGCCTTACACCAATTACACTTTTGACTTCAAGGTAAGTACAGCGAGCGAAATAAAGTGACCGCAATTGTTCGGAGTTATGTCAAAAGTATAAACCCTAATATGATTTTTACTATGAATTTATGTATTGATACAACCTTTTCTTTTTAAAATGTCATTAGCACCCATTTCTATATCTGAAACTCTAGGTCCAAAATCTCTCTCTTCAAACAGGGATGTATTGATATCGACCATGCACGTCAAGTTAACAAAATGAAACGCTTGTCATGTTGTGCCATTTCTTACTCTGCCATGTGTGGTAACATGACAGAGTAACAGCAGAAAGCATGAAAACAGCTTGTTGTGTGCTTCAACAGTGTGTGCTCACAACTCCCTTTTTTAAACCCAATTTAGGGTGTCATTGATTACATCTTCTACTCGAGGCCAGAACTAAACTTGCTGGGTGTCCTCGGGCCTTTGGACACAAACTGGCTCTTGGATAACAATATCAGTGGTTGCCCACACCCTCATATCCCCTCAGATCACTTCTCCCTGTTTGCACAACTGGAGTTGGTCCTGCCTTATCCTCCCCCTCTTAATGGGATCCACTTACCTGGACACAGGTAGTGAGCCCTCTCGGCCACTGGTGGCGCTGCAGAGTCCCAACTCGTATGCTTTTTGAAAACGATAAAACCTCTAAGCTATTTCTTTTTATATATATATATGTATATATATGTGTGCGTGTGTGTGTTTGTGTATACATATATTTTTTTCTCTTGTACCTTTATTCATTTTTAGGGTCCAACATGTTTCAATTTTTCTGGGAGTTTTTTTTATTTGTTAAGCTATATATATTTTTTTATTTTTTTGAATCATAGGCTGATATATTATCATCATTTTTTTAAATTGTTGAATATAGCTTGTGTGCATGCAATGTATCAATTGTAAGATGCAGCTAAGTCTTGGTCGCACACTCAAAGGGATGTTTTTTTAGTTTCTTTTACGATCAGATATAAATACTATGACCAGCCATTAGTGTAATTCTGCAAAATAAGCATTAACCAACATCTTCATGAATTCAGCCTCAATGTAAACGCTTTTTTTTGTCGACATTCCACTGAACTGAGACATTGCTAACAGTTGAATTTAATTTCAGACACGCTTGCATAATTCTCCTTTGGATGAGTGACCAATGTTTTGTGCAGACCAAACTTAGTAAGTAAAATTTGTCCCCAATCGGGAAAGACAATGGAACCACAAAAGCTTTTCCACTTGCGCGGTGCTGAAATTTGCTGTACATCGGTGCATCTGATGTTTTAATCTTCCATCAATGGTGCAATATTCAGAACGCGCTATACGTTCTAAGCAAGTGCACTGTTACGGAATGTTTTTACACGCTTGTGTAATGTAAAAAAAAGCACTTATTTGTCTTTCTCTCTCCCTCAAATGGGAGTTGGAATGGTTTGAGCTTAATATGTAAACCAAATTATTTTAGATGTGTCGAATCAGCTGCACTGCTTTTTGCGCACTATTGTTTTAACCAGTCATATGGGGGCAGGCTCTTTGTTTCTTTGTACGACAGGCTATGTGAATAATATAAACTGCGCTTGATATCACTGTGGTCATAAACGGGAGGTTTTTATTAGAAAGGAAGGTTTTATATAGGGAGTCTTTTAACCAGCGATTTGTCACTATATTAGGTTGAAAAGGATTTCCCATTCCTTTTTATCCTCTCATTACACACATCTTCGCAAGATCTGTAGCACTGTTCTTGAGGCTAGTAATGTTCCGACCTAGCCGTTACCACCCCCCATATTGTATCAGAGGGGTTCTCCCAGGTCTTTGTACAAAATGTAATTGAATATATTAACAGAAAAATTTAGGCTTGACTTGATTGTATATGAGCCACATTCACACTTTTTTTTTTTAGTTTTATTAAATGTTTTTTTTGTACTAAGAATAAATTCTGATCCAAATTCAGAAAATAAGATTGTGTTGTAAGCTACATTTTTATAAACAATAATCAAAAACTTACCAGCTTGTATAAAAGACAGAGGTTGTTCCTGGTTCTCACTGCCATACTTTTGCGCTCATTTTGCACTTTCTTTTTTTACTATAGTTATTTATTTTCTTTTGTAACTTTCAGAGTACATGCTTTTTTGTCTATCCAATCATTCATCTCAAACTATTTTTTCAGTGTCTTGTTGCTGTATATGTAAAGGGAGGGGAGTCCTGAAGCTCCGTAACATGCCATCTGTCTATGTGAAATCGAGTCAGTAACACTTCTGCCTTTCCTTTATATATATATTGCAAACATGTTACTGTTTTGCACACTCTTCAGAGAGCAACTCCACCTGTCTTGGAAAAGAAAACTTTACTGTTGTTGTGGTGGACATTTTGTCGTTTATTTTTCGGATTGCATTATGCTATCAGTGCATCTTCATCTTCTTGAGGTCTCAAGAAATCATGTATAGGACATTTGTTTTTGCTTCAAGAATGTTTTAGCACTTTGGCATTTCTGAACTCATGATTATTTTGTTTGCTACACAGATTTTAAAGTCAAGATAAATGTACATTTTCATATTTACATCTGCCTAGACTCATTTTTAAATGGCCATAATTTTTCCTGTTTCGTGCCAGCTTCCTCTGAAGCCAATTGTAAAAAGTTAGATTATCCTCTTATGGTACTTCACGTGGCATTTTTAATTTTGAAACTATCTTCCTAACCTAGTTCTGAACCTTTGGACCAAATTATCATCTCTAAGAATTGTGAAGGATGTCTGGCAGTGGTCTGATTGTGGTTAGATCCTTAGCATTTAAAGGATTAGTTCACTTTTTAAAAAACTTTTGCTGATGATTTACTCACCCCCATGTCATCAAAGATATCCATGTCTTTCTTTCTTCAGTCGAAAAGAAATTAAGGTTTTTGATGGAAACATTCCAGGATTTTTCTCCATATAATGGACTTTACTCGTAACCAAACGGTTCAAGGTCCAAAAGACAGTTTCAGTGCAAACTGCAAACTGTTGAAAGGGCTTTAAACGATTCCAGACGATGAATAACGGTCTTATCAAGCGAAACGATCGCTCATTTAATAAATAAATAACAAAGGTTAAGCTCAAATGGTCGCCTTGCTCTGTTCTGTGATGCCCGTGAGACTCGTTTGAACTCAAAATTAACATGTCTTTTTTTTCCGAGTCATTTGGTTCATTCAACGAACGAAAAGATTTGGAAAAGGATTCAAACAGAAAAGAGCAAGGCGAGCATTTGAGCTTTTTTTTTAATGACAGATCGTTTCGCTTGATAAGACCGTTATTCATCGTCTGAAATCATTTAAAGCCCTTTGAACAGTTTGCACTGAAACTGTCTTTTGGACCTTGAACCGTTTGGTTCCCATTGAAGTCCATTATATGGAGAAAAATCCTGGACTGTTTTCATCAAAAACCTTCATTTTTTTTCGACTGAAGAAATAATGACATGGACATCTTGGATGACGTGGGGGTGAGTAAATTATCTGCAATTTTTTTTTTTTTTAAAGTGAACTACTCCTTTAATATATTTTGTTCCACTAAACTGATGTCAGCATGACCATCACATGTTCAACATGTCACAAATCAGTTTCTTTCAGTTGTGCAGCACTATCGCTTTTACGTCTTGCTTTGTTTTAGCAGCAAGAACCAGAGCAGTCTTCTGTTATTCGGGGCCTCTTCACCATGAATTGTTAATGGTATTATAGTAGAAATGAGATTAGTTTTTTTGTAAAATGTGAATAAAATGTGTATTGAATATTTCCTTTCTACAAAACAAATGAGTTGTGTTGTGTGTGTGTGTGTGTGTGTGTGTGTGTGTATATATTTAATGTATTCTCCTGTATTATTGATGTCTCTTTTTAATGATCTGTTTCACATTGCTTATTGTCCTATAACAAATTTGCTCTTCTGACTGAAGTAGGTGCCCAAAGATGATCATGTTTTGTTAGTAGACTAGTTTTCGTGCAGTTTAATGTCATGATGGAGAGCAGTTTGACATCAGTGGCCAGCTGCATAAACTTAAGACTAATTTGACACCTAGCAATTAGTAAAAAAGGTAATCTGTTTTACTTTAAAATTAGACAAATCGACCTTTTTATGTAAATTACATTAAAAAGATAGGACCAGTCTTGAACAAAATAAGATGACTTAAGACTAGTCTAAGCAGTTTATGCAACCGGCCTCGGGTGTTATCGGAGATGGTGTCTCGCTTGCATTAAACTGCATGGTAAAATATTAGACTTATCAAATATTGGTGCATTTCAATCAGTGATGAGTGTTTGTACCTAATCAAGTAACACTCGGTAATGGAGACTAAATTGTAAGACTCATGTTAAATTGATTTGTTTTTAAATCATCGTTCCCAAACAAAGTCCTTTAAATGTCAATGTAGTTTCTTAATTTCAGCGGTACACACCCAACATCTACACTTAAACCAGTGAGAAACTGCAAATAATAATCAAATCTTTTTTTACTGTCCTCTTTTATTTTTCATTGCCTCTTGCTTTCCTTCTGCTTTACTCTTTATATAACAGATCTTTTTCCAGCCTTTGTTTTTGATACTAAAAACCTGCTGCAATAAAATTGATAGATTAGCTGGGCTGTTTTAATTACCGTGCGTTTCATATAGACGCCGGTGACCTTTTTTTTTGTAGTTTCTCTGACTAACACTGTACTTACTGTCATGAGCCATTCTGTAGTACATTGAATAAACTCTTGTTTACCATTCGAGATAATGCCAGCAGAGATGCACACTATTAAAAAAAAGAAAAAGAAAAGTTTTCATGATATTCAATGAATGTTCGGTCTCTAATAAAACCCAAAAAAGGCAGCTCTTAAAAAAGAATCTCTGGAAAAGAATGGTAAGCAACTATTTTCTGTCCGTTCTCTGTATTAGTTGAAGAGATTTGTACATAGAAATTCCACAGTAATGTATTTTCCTATCTATGGTTGATAATAAATTCTTTCTGCTTCATGACCTGTTGGATTTTCTTTAAATCTGCCATTTTGTTCCTTTTGTGGAATATGCAAAATGTGATAATATAGAAATTCAGTGTTCAGTATGCTACTTAATTATATATATTTTTTTCTTTTTGACATTTTTAATAGTTACTTTTAGGTTTCTTCTCTTTAAGCGGCTTAATGAGGTATTATCCACAAGGTGGTGCCATGTGAACAGATGGTCTGTAACAGGCCACAACCACACATCCAAGAGTTACAATATGAGCTGAGAACACAAAACAGTCTTTGGGGTTTGACAACTAAATGGCTCTAAGCAACACTGATCCTGATTCATGAACATTCTCAGTGGTCTGTTGCTTATTCTTGTAAACATTACATTTGGACACTGTTAACACTGAAGTCAGAACAGTGGAGGATTTCTTATCAATAATCTTGTGCAGTGTTCATTTTTCTTCATGTTCTTTGAATGTAGTCAGTTTTCCTTGATTTCATATTGTCCATTTAATACGCTTTATCTAATAAAAAAAAATTGTGGCAACAGATTACAAGCAATATTATTAAATAAATTTAACGGTAACACTTTACAATAAGGTTCGTTGGTTAGCATTAGTTAACTACATTAGTTAATATGAACTAATAATGAATAGCACATATACAGCATTTGTTAATCTTTGTTAATGTTATTTTCAACATTTACTAATACTTGATTAAAATCTTGTTAACATTAGTTAATGCACCGTGAACTAACATGAACAAACAATGAACGGCTGTATTTTCATGAACTAACATTAACAAAGATGAACAAATGCAGTAACAAATGTATTGCTCATGGTTAGTGCATGTTAGTAAATACATTAACTAATGTTAACTAATGAACCTTATTGTAAAGTGTTACCAATTTAACAAATTAGAATTGAGTAATAATTAATCAAATTAATTCCTTAGAAGTTGACCATTTAAAATGAGTAAAACTCATCATTATCATTATGGTGATTGGTGTTTGTTTTAGTTTTGTTTTAAAATGACGCTTTTGTCCTTCAGTGATTCTGCTTGTTAACATGTCTTCGATGTTGGCAATACAAAATAAAGAGTTCTTAATTAATATTTGACGTCTGTCTGTTAGTGAGATATTTTTGTTAATTTCTTTGGTGTAAACTTTACTCATTTTAAAAGGTTAATTTGATTAATTATTACTCAATTGTAATTTGTTAAATTTTAATTAATAATATTGCTTGTAATCTGTTGCTAAATGACAAAAAATGTGTCACTGTAACAGTCTAAAACAACATTTTCATTTATTACTTTCAATTTGAAATGTTTTGTAACAACATCCTTTTTGAAAACATATCATTTAAAGGGGTCCTATAATAACCTTTGACAAAGTCTTTCATGCTTGATTGTTACCACCGGCATTTTTCACATATTTTACATATTACAGCTCTTCTCTCCCCACGGTCTGAACTACATTTTTCGATGAAAAAGGCCCCTCTTTCCGAAATACTGTGATTGAAAAGCTGCCAAGTTTTATTTTTTTTCCTTTGAATAAGTTTGCCATGTACCGAAATTGAAGCCTATAACTAATAATCTGACACAGTGTAACTGCGTGTCTATACAAACAATATCCTACAATAACCAGGAAACCAATGAACTATACAAGAAAGTAGCAATGAACAAAGATTATGTGTGATCAAATTAAATGTAACTGATAAGAGTGGGAAACCTCAATGAACAAATGGACCTAAACCAACAAATTACTTTGTGACACAAATAAAACAACTTTTTTTTCCATTTGATATCAGAAAATACCGTAAAAAACTATTCATGTATGGTTCTTTTTATGTATTTAATTTAACAATTTATTCCTGTGATGGCAAAGCTGCGATTTTCATCATTTAATTTTGTTACATTATAAATGTCTTTACTGTAATTTGAGCAATTTATTGCATCCTTGCTGAATAAGAGTTCATTTTCTTTTTTTAGACCCTAAACTTTTGAACAGTAGTGTAAATTAGCTGCTAGTTTTCAGCTACATCAAAGCTAAGTTAGTTTTGGGTTCTCATTTTTATTGGCCTCATTTGCTGTTTGTTTAACGCCTGAAGCAGTACTTTGAGACCAGTACATCCCTTATAAAGAGTGTCAGTCATGTTTTCCACAGGCCTTTGCATGAACTGTGTTCAGGTGTTGTAATCCTTGGAAAGAGAAAGGACGTTAACGGGCGTGACACATCTGCTTACACTTATCAAGATTTTGAACTCTGCCACGTCAATAACCGACTGGCCCAAACACTGGACTCTCTAACCATTGATGTAGGCCTACTGCTGTGACATGAAAGACAAAACAGAAGACACAAGAATAAACTAAATCAACTCTAGCATGCCTTTACTTTATCATTTATAGAGAGTAGATTTAGGTTGGCACTAACAATCATGACAATTACAACAGTAGGCTAAATCTGCAGAGTTTAATTGCAGTCAATTTCAAGTTAAACAAGTGATTTCCCATGAAAACTTTGCATTCATATACTTCATATAATATAGTACATTCATATACTTTGATACTATAGTACTGTGGTGCCAAGTCAATCAGGACTGCTTGAGGAGAATTAACTAACCCAAAATTACACACAGTTAAACTGCCTTGACAGCTGCTTGAGTATACGTCAACATCTGCCGTTTTAACGTCGGTTAGATGACGTTATCGAATCCTAACCTAAACCTACCCCGTCACCTAACTGACGTTAAAGGTAAAGCGTCAGATGTATGATGGCCCAGGATCATCATATAACTGACGTTTAAGGGTACCCTAAAACGGCGGATGTTGACGTATGGTCAAAAGCGTCACTTGTATGACGTCTTGGGATGAGACTGTGTTAGCGTTTCTGAAAAAATAAATAAATT